ATAGGTCTATTCCAAGGAATGTTATTCCATTCTTGACCTATTCCATGAACCAAACATGCCATAAGAGTTTGGTTTAGGGATAAGGGTCCATGGTTTATGGTGGACCCTGCCTGATTGATTAAGGGAATTTAATTCCCTTTTTAGGGTAAGTAATTAAGTAATAAGTCTGGGTTAGAGGCCGTAACACGGGGTGTTACATGACACCCCGTAAATCCAAACTCTAATCAAGGATTAATTAGAGAATTAATCCTAGTCTCTTTGTTAATTTATTCCTAAAAATCCTTAAAAATTTAATAGTCGAGGGACTAGATTTTCACTAGTCACTTAAGTCAAAGGGTTGTACCTTGGGCATCTTGGGTTGTGCCCTTGTTTCCTTGTCTTTCCAACTTTAGTAAGGGAAAGAATGTCTTTCTACCTAAGGTTTGTGGTTCAATCTAACCTAGCAACACTCTTTCATTTCATTTATCCTACAATCTAAACACAAAAACCTCTAGCTTCTCTCTAAAAAGGTGTAGCTTCTTCTCCAAGCTAGGATTTGAGCATCCAAGTCTTGAAAGTTTTGCTCCCAAGATTCCTACTTTCTTCATCTTGAGCATAGGGGAGAGTATGATCCTTGGTCTTTTAGTGTTTTTAACCTCCTTTTAGGTGTCTTTTTCTAAAGATAGAATTTTTGTTGTCTTTTGGTTTGTGTATGAAGTTGGTGTGGAAGAGGAGCTTTAGGAAAGGCTTTCTAAGGATGAAAAGAGGAAGTTATTAGGCTACAAAGGTAACTCATGCTTTACAAAACCTATTTTCTTACTTATATGATGATTTCTTGGCATCTACTATTGATTCTTGTGTTGGAATGTGAGATTTGATGCATTATCTTGTGGTGATGCATGTTTAGAGCTTGTTCTTAGGGTTCTTGAATGTCATTGCTTGGCTGTTTCTTGGGTTCAAGTCATATTGTTGTTGTGTGTGAGATTTTGGGTGTGGAAGTGATCAGGTGAATTTGAGGCTTCCCGTGCGGTTGTGCGGGTGGACGCACGTTAAACATTAATCTGACGCACTTAAAGTACACAACACATGCACACTAACAAAACACCTTCAGAACACAACCTCACGCATGTTAAGTACAAGCCTCACACATGTTAAGTACAAGTCTCACGCATGTTAAGCACAAGCCTCACACATGTTAAGTACAAAAATACACACACCTTAAGTTTTAAAAACAACTCACATTAAGCACACAGTCACGCACATTAAGTACCAAACTCACGCACCTTAAACACACGACTCACGCACATTAAGCACGAAACTCACGCACATTAAGCATAAAACTCATGCACTTTAAAGTTTCAACAACAACTCAGTAAACACTCACGCACATTAACCACAAAACTCACGCACATTACGCACAAGACTCACGCACATTAAGTACAAAACTCACGCACATTAAACACTACACACTCACGCACATTAAGCACAAATCTCACGAACATTAAGAACAAGACTCACGCACATTAAGTACAAAACTCGCGCACATTAATCACCCGCACAACCGTACCGCACGGGAAACACTTAAATGCACCTGAACCTCTATATATATATATATATATATATATATATATATATATATATATATATATATATATATATATATATATATATATATGTATAAAACTTGAATCAAAACAAGTTATATAAGATAAGTTGGGGATACATGGGGTTCAACCCCTAACCGAGTTAGTTGGATAATTGGTTTTGTAAGTGCAAGCTTTCAAGTTTGACTTCTAATGAGAGTTGTCTATCAACCTTCATGATTTAAACAGGTTTAGTATTATATTACTTCCAATTAGACACTATTCAAATTGGGCATTTGGTCTAGTGGTATGATTCTTGCTTAGGGTGTGAGAGGTCTCAAGTTCAATTATTTGAAATCTCGGGTCCTAATTATGAATTAGGCCAAGTTCAAGTGATTTGAACAAGTTTTAAGTTCAAGTGATTTGAACAAGTTTAATCGTCAAAATACAATAGTTATGCTGTGGAACCTGTTCTTGGGCAATTTAAGGGTCGATCGGTTCCATTCGTTAAGGCAGACTTGTGACAAGGATCATTTTGTTGCTTGCTTGACTTTGGGTGTTTTGACTAACTTCATCTCTTTGGTATTTTCTTGTGTTTAATTATTTAAATGGGCTTGCCCACTCGCACCTTACTATGAATACAAGGTAAGGGGAGGCACAATGAAGAATGGCTTTGTAGTGCCGGGTAGCAATGTTGGGGGAATTAATAAAAGCTTGTAGATGTAGTAAGGGTCTTTGTACCTTAGCTTTTTGGCATTAAGACCACTTTTGGAGTTTTGGTCTCTTGTACTTAAGGGTTTTGATTAATGCAAAGTTTACTTATTTATTTTTGAAAAAAATAAAAAGATTAACTAACTCAAATTTTTGTAGGATCTCATCTGTATTTAAGGTTTTGTTCTATCCATTTGTATGAATTTATTACTAAGTAGTATTGACTTATACCACCTTCTTAAAATCTATTTTAATTTCCACCAATTTGTTATAGTTATAATTTTCTGCTAGTATTTTATTCGCATAGTGGGAGTTATGTTATTTTCAGTGTGTCAAGTGACACCTTAAATATTTTGTGTCTTATTACCTAAGCGTATACATTTTCTTAATAATTTAAAATTGACCTATCAAAATATAAATACTTGCTGTTTTACATAATGTTTTTCTCTATTCTGTAAAATTTAATGGCAATTTACATAATATTTTTTCTATTCTTACAAATTTCAATGGTCACTAATTGTAGCAAAAATGATTGATAGTGAGTGTACATGTGTGAAATGTCGTCCTCGGGCGATTGGAGGATATGACACGCAATATGCAATCACAAGAAACTTGGCACTAGCATAAGGAAACCAACAAGAAACTAAGCAAATCATAACACGAACACATATTAACAAGAGATAAACACGAAATAAAGAAATAGGACTCAAGCTAGGGAGCATTATCATCTAGATACTTCAACAACCTATGCGATTACGGAGAACAAATAACCAAGGAATCAAGTGGAAATGCACGTAGATATCCTAGTCTAGCTACGAACCACTCTCGTGATTAATAAAGCACAAAGGGGAAAAGGGTGGCACAATAAGCACAAGGAGTACAATCTTTACTATCTACACCATGTAAAACACTATACACAATTTAAAGAAAGTAGAGAAGATTGATGAGACTGCTCCCCTAATGAATCCTAATTTCTCAGTCGATCAGCACCAACAACCCATTTAAACATTTTGATTATCTAGCTTCCTCTTTTCTTTTCACCCCCAGAATTTCCCCAAACACAAAGTTGATAGTTATTATAAATTTGCTTAGGGGCCAATTTGACCATTCTTTCCTAGATTAAATAGCTAAACCTTAAATACTTATGAATTTCATTGTCTTACTTTCTAAAATTTGTTAATCAATTAAATATCTATGAATTTTAATTTAATAATTTATCCATCAGTTTTTTCATAAATAAATTTACTTTTCTTATATTGATAAGTAATCACATTACTTTTGTTTTATTTCAACTCATTTTTTGATGTGACAATAATGTTATATTATATTACCAAAGTTGTCATATATATAACTTGAATCAAAACAAGTTATATAAGATAAGTTGGGGATATACCAAAGTTTAAGACTTCTGCTCTCTCTCTCTCTATATATATATATATAATTTTTTTTATAGAAGTCTCTATTACTCCCCTCACTTAGACCTTTACTCTTCCAGGATCAATAGGCTGACCTTGTTTTCTTGACATGTATGTAGATCAATAGTATTACTTATAATTGCTATTGACATTATCCAATATTTTATTCACATTCTAAATTTCGCGGGCTATTAGGATAGAAAGCCCTTGAAAGAGAGTGTCAAAATCATGTTACTATTATTAGTCATATATATTTGGAATAAAGGTCAAATAGGCCACCGAATCGTACAAGATAATGCAATTAGGCCATTGAATTAAAAAAAAACTACAATTAAGTCCCTAAACTAACACATTTCAAGCAATTTGTCTAATTTGTAGGTTTTTCCCCTTTCTAACAGGTCACCTAATTTAAAATATTTTTAAAAATAATAATTTTTTTTAAACCAAAACAATAATTAATTAAAATAAGCTAAAATAAAAAAAAAAAGTTTAAAAAAGTAAAAAGAACACAATCTCCGCAGAGACGTCTCCGGCCATGGCCATGGCTTCTTCTCTTTGTCTCTCACTCTCTGCTCTCTGCTCTCTGCTCACTGTCCGAAGGCGAAGGCACCAAGCGGAAGAGGGGATTGCGGAACGCCGGAACTGCCGACTGTAAACTCCGAGTCTTCGACCAGCGGCCGGCGACCTGCGCGCTGTCAGTGCGGTTTGACCTTCTCCATTTCTCCCGGTTTCTCTGCGAAGTCGAAGCGGAAGTTCGGAACTGCCGAATGCAAACTCCAAGTCTCCGCAGGAGTTGCCAGCTCCGGTCTCTCTCCCTGCTGGCTACTCCGGCGGAGACCATTGCTTTTTAATTTTTAATTTTTTTATTTGTTATTTATTAATTTATTTAGTTTAGTTTATTTTAATTAATTATTTTTAAAAAAAACTATTTTAAATTGGTGACCGGTTAAAAATGGGAAAAATCTGCAAATTGGACAAATTGCTTGAAATAGGTTAGTTTAGGGACTCAATTGTAGCTTTTTTGAGTTCGGTGGCCTAATTGCATAATTGTGTGCAGTTCGGTGGCCTATTTGACTCTTATTCCTATATATTTAAACAATTGAAAAAACTATTAAAGATGAATAGGTATTGTGCGTCATCATGCTAAGCACCTTGTGCTTAGATCACACCTCTGTATCTTTTCTTGAGGAAAGGTCACAGGATAAAAAAAAAAAAAAAAAAAAGTCATACGCTGGCCTTCTATTAAAACATAACAAAACAAAAACTTCCAAAAACAAATTTTAATATAAAGTAATTATTTAAAATATGGCAAATCAGAGTGGTGCAGTGGAAGCGTGGTGGGTCCATAACCCACAGGTCCCAAGATCGAAACTTGGCTCTGATATTTAGATTTTAAATGTCTCGTAAGACACCAAAATGTTACCTTACCTACAAAATAGTACACTAAATAAGTAAAACATATATTTAGTTTCTTTTAAAGTTTCCCCATGAGGTTTAAATTTATTTTGAGATACCAAAATATTACATTACCTGTAGTGAGTAATAATTGCTGAATTACAAAATAGTACACTGCATAGAATATGTATGTTAGCTTTTTTTTAAAGTTTTCCCACGAGGCTAAACACTTACAAGCAATTATTGTTAAATGAGTGGAGTATGTGATTTTCATACATACCGAAACTGTTATAAGTTTGGTTCTTGTTAATACCATTTTGGTTGAACCTCTCACACACGGTTTTATATGTGCAATTAAGTTGGCCCAGTGCACACCCATGGCCTGCGTTTGTATCACACCCTCAGTCACGCGATATAACGACCTGTCGCAAATTATGCTGTGCAACCGAATGCACCATGCGCATGGTGCATACGATGCAAAACGACGTCGTTTTGGTTAAAAAAAACGCGCGTCCCACTTAAAAAAGAAATCAGGTTCGATTCCCGGCAATAGCATTTTTATATATCCATAAATTCATAACTATATATCCATAAATTCATAACTATATATCCACAAATTCATAATTATATATCCACAATGAATGAATGAAGTAAAAATCCACAATGAATGAACTAAATATCCACAATGATTGAACTAAATATCCACAATGAATGAACTAAATATCCATAAATTCATAATTATATATCCAGAAATTCATAACTATATATCCAGAAATTCATAACTATATATCCATAAATTTATAACTATATATCCACAGTGAATGAATGAAGTAAATATCTACAATGAATGAACTAAATATCCATAAATTCATAACTATATATCCAGAAATTCATAACTATATATCCACAATAATGCGCGCTATTGCCGACAATCGAACCTGAAATTTTTTTTTTTAAGTGAGACGCACGTTTTTAGTCAAAACGACGTCGTTTTGCATCGTATGCACCATGCGCATGGTGCATTCGGTTGCACAGCATAACTATTGACGACCTGTGTGATGGTCCATTTATAATTTAACTAGTAATTCACCCGCGCGATGCACGGGAAAAAATTATTTTATTATAAATATAAATAAAAAATAGAAAAACTAAAATATTTTAAATTATTTAATATAATAATATTTTTGAGCTTCCATTGGTCAAGTATTTATTATTTTTATAGAATACAAAATTACAATTAAAATTAAAATTAAATTATAATTTTGTATGGTTAATATAATCTCTAATTATGTGCATATTCAAATAAACTTATAGAGAGAATTTACATAATTACATTGATTTATTCTTAATTGTATTTCATCTATATTATAATTTTCACAATACAAATAATAACTAAGATAATGACATTTGGAAAATAAATTTCAAATTTTATATATATAAATTTAAACTCTAATTGAATACATTTTTTATATGATTATATAATATATATAGCTATTTTATTTTTTAAAAGTATATTTTTTATATGATTATATAATATATAGCTATTTTATTTTTTAAATGTTGTGCTTTTTTTTTTTAATATAATAAAGGATGTTGTGACATTAATTGTAACATTAATTATTTCCCAAACCATATAGCTTTATTATATAAAGGATAAAGGATTTAGTTGCAAAATCTAGGTTTCTAGTTTTATTCACTCAAATTAACTACCTTGTTGGACAATATCCATTTCTTATATTTATTTACAAATATAACTTATAGGTGATTAGATCGAATCCGGGATTGTTTATCGACGTGGACAAATTTATCTTGAGTAAGTTCTTTTTCTAGTTTTTTCCTACGAACTTTCGGCGTTCCCTTGTGCATTCGGTGATTGGCCACACAGTGGTCTATGTTTTCTTCTGGAATCGGCTTTCCCTTGTGCATCCGGTGATTAGCCACATTGTGGTCTATGTTTAAATTAGTTTTGTTCATTGTATTAATATTATTTTAGAAACTTGTTGAATTATTGTTAACAAAATTTTAATTAGGGTTAATATTATTTTAGATTGCCTTGTGATGGATAAAAGTTGGATGAATGCTTTTTGAATTATTAAGGAATATGGAGACGGAGTTAGACAATTTTTGGACTTTGCAAAGCGTAATCTTCCGAATAATAATGAGAGGATCTTTTGTCCTCGTACAATTCGTTACCCTTATATTTTTAGAAGGGTAGCGAATGCTCAAATTTCCGCTACCCTTGTAAAAGGGTAGCGGAAAGCTCAGGGCTTTCCACGTCTCTCACATCCGCTACTCTTGTACAAAGGTAGCGGATAGTCCTTTACAAGGGTAGCAGATGTGTATATCTGTACTAGTGTCTGACCATAGCTAGCCAAGGGTCGTCTAATGAGTCGCGTTGCTAGAAAGCCTAAAATGATCACAAAACCCCTTCCGGTGAAAGATGGTTATAAGTTATTGAGTGCAGGACTTTTGAAAGCACTCATTTATTTTAGCTTAAAAGTCTAGATTCAACATTAAACTTTGAACACTTGACCACACAAGAGCCTTTAGCAAAAATTTCAGTGCTAGCATCTTTCTTCTGAGCTTGGGTCCACCTTTTATAGACCTGTAGAGATGAGCGCGAACTTGAAATTTGAACTTTCAGTTGTCACTCAACAAATGATAGCCGTCCAAAAGCTGCCACAATCTCCTAAGGTAACGACTATTTCCCAATTAGGCTTATAAGCACTCTAAAGTGAAAAAGAGTTGCTTCTCCTTATCACCAATTTGTCTATTCTATCGATTTCTAGGTGTCAGACAAATTATCCAATGGCTCTTTTGTTATTTTTGAATGAACTTCTACCAAGAATGATTGTCCTTAAATGTCCTTCAATGGATCTCATACATGCTTGGAATACACTAGACAATATTCTTTTGTCATCCATTAAGCCGTAACTTGAATGTCATTCCTTCCGTTCCCCTTTATTTCCTTCCGATATGACTCTTTTCGTAAGTCTTCTTCTAAACCCTTTCCTTCCGGTTGCTTCTTTCCGAACTCATTCGTTTTGGATTCTTTCTTCCGAACTCTTTCCTTCTAAATTCTTTCTTCCATAACTACTTCATTCTGATTAGTTTGACTACGAAACTTATCTAAATTTACAATAAACACTACAAGAAAAATGCACATAGACAACGGTTAATAACCGTTGTCGTAGGGGTATAATTTCTGTTGTTGAAGCCGGTGTTGTTGTAAGTCCTGCGCATAGACAACGGTTTTTTAACCGTTGTCTTTTCTAGAAACAACAACGGTTTTTTAACCGTTGTCTATTAAGTGTTGTTGAAGCCAGTGTTGTTGTAAGTCACGCACATAGACAACGGTTAATAACCGTTGTCTTTTCTAGAAACAACAACGGTTTTTTAACCGTTGTCTATTAAGTGTTGTTGAAGCCGGTGTTGTTGTAAGTCACGCACATAGACAACAGTTAATAACCGTTGTCTTTTCTAGAAACGACAACGGTTTTTTAATCGTTGTCTATTAAGTGTTGTTAAAACCGGTGTTGTTAAAAGTCACGTACATAGACAACGGTTAATAACCGTTGTCTTTTCTAGAAACGACAACGGTTTTTTAACCGTTGTCTATTAAGTGTTGTTGAAACCGGTGTTGTTAAAAGTCACGCACATAGACAACGGTTTTAAACCGTTGTCTTTTCTATAAACGACAACGGTGTTTTAACCGTTGTCTATTAAGTGTTGTTGAAACCGGTGTTGTTAAAAGTCACGAACATAGACAACGGTTTTTAACCGTTGTCTTTTCTAGAAAAGACAACAGTTTTTGACCCGTTGTCTATTCAATGTTGTTGAAACCGGTGTTGTTAAAAGTGATGCACATAGACAACGGTTTTTAACTGTTGTCTTTTCTATAAAAGACAACAGTTATAAACTGTTGTCTATTGTGTGTTGTTGAAATCGCTGTTGTTGAAAGTCACGCCCATAAACTGTTGTCTATTGTAAAATAGACTCAACCCATTTTTAACCTGCTTAAATTTTAATCATATAAAAAAAATCAATTTATCCATTCACCATGGCCAGTGTAGTTACATAATTTTGAAGAAGCTAAGCAAGGTTCAAAATAACAAGTCAAAATACTTTCATTACCAATTCTAATCGAATCATCATCCAAGTCATAATACTACAAAAAACAATTCTATGAACCAAGTCTAAATGATTACAACGTCAAATCATACCTACTCTATATAACTTGATAGAATATCGGCCCATTCTGAACGCACCAGATCAATAACCGCTTTTTCATAATCAACTTGTTGGAACTACATGTAAAAAGTGAGTAAATAAATTAGTATAGATATAATAAATTTGCAATGAAATGCGAACAGTGGAGGTATTTATACACTACACAAGAATAAAAGTGAACCATTGATGCTAGTGCAATATCCAACAGCTAGAAAAGAAACCTAGAATAGCTAACCTCAGCAAGCATATGTAAGTAGTGTAAACAAAATGATGCTAAGGAAGAAGAGTCATAATTATATATAGGGAAAGAAATGCAAACACACCTGGGTGCACAGATTTGGGAATGTCAAACTTAGTAAAACAAGGAAGAAAAATCAAGAACTCAAACTCACAATTCCATGTTAAATTCCAGTAAACTAGTTCCAGTAACCAGTTTACTAAACAAATGCACCACCATTTAAAAATGAATCAAAAAAATCATAAACCAACTTCAACTACGTACATGAAAACATCAACTTACAACTACTTCTGAATTCTGATTATCTTTTCCATATGACAGCTCAAAAATACATTGCTACTGAGTACAACTGTTTCCTAAAACTCTTCATCCGTACCTCCTATACTATACGTATTCTTAATTTTACAAATTACCAATTATCGAAACTGAATAAGCAAAACAACAATAAATGAAGTTAAATATGCAAACCTCTTCATATGACAAACAAGACTGTGTCCATGAAGAACATAGAGACGATCACAACTATTGCGCGCTCTCAAAGAAATCAAAGCTCTGAACCTGAAAAGGGGTAAGTTCAAGACATACAGACAACACAAAGTTAGCATAAAAATGCTAAGTAAGGCTCACTTTGCCCCGTAAAATATTAACATTTGTAGTTTGAAAATAAACATACTTTTAAAAGATAAACAAGAAAGGAATACTATGAATTTTAAAATATACATGTTGGAAAAGAGTACATCATATCCTTTTTCTTGAGATTAAAACACTAGTTAATTGAGAATAAATTCAAATGCCACATACATAAGACATTATTAAAATGATACAACAACTTCACTTAAGAACATATTTCTCATCTCTTTCAGATGGTAAACAATTCCACTTTAGTCAAAGGCATTTTCCAGTAGCCAAACATTTGTAGATACATATACGTAAATTTCCATAAGTAAAAACCAATGCAAATGCATAGATCCTGCTGCCAATTAACATTTTGAAAACCAACAAGTGTATAAATAGATAGCAGATACATACACAGCAGGAACAGTTAGAGCAAACTCATTTTGGATGGGCATAAACCATTACAAACTTTAAAACATGAACATACACTATTTTAGAAGCAAAATAACACCATATTAACATAATTTCTAAGGAATTAAAGTAGCAAAAATAGCCCATAATTTCAATAATAAAACTTAGGGCAAAATAATAGGGACACCCATGAATCCTTACCTTCTTTCACAGCACTTCTAGAGTATGATTCCCCCTAATCCTAGCCTTCTTCTCAGCTCCTTCTCCTAATAGCACCCCAAACATACATAGCTAGCAACGAACAACATATAAACAACATATATAAAGAAGTATGAACATGTAGGCAGTATGAAACTATGAAGTATGAACAAGAAGTCATTATACCGCAATACCTCGACGGCTATCTGGACTCGCGACAACGGCCTGGAGGCCTGGACTCGCGACGGCGGCCTGGAGCCACGGCGGACTCTGGACTCTAGGGTCTAGACTCGCGACGGTGGCCTGGAGCAATTACCGACGGCGGCCTGGAGCAATTACCGACGGCGGCCTGGAGATGGCGATACGCGGCGTCGGCGACGGCTCTCTACAGTCGGCGAAGTCCCTCCGTAGTCGACGAAGTCTCTATGTATGAAGTCTGAGTCGCGACAGTTTGAAGAATAGAAATTTTTAGGGATTTTGACTGTTCAAAATTTTTATTTCTAATCATTATTTTTATATATTATAATATAATAATATTATTATATTATATAGTATATATTACACGGCTCGCGAGCGGTTCGACTAGTCACGAGCCTAGAATATTTAGGCTCGGCTCGTGCTCGAGCCGAGCGGCTCACGAACGACTCGGCTCCTCTTATATAGAGAATGGCGGAGAGCACTCTAACTGCGGAGAAGTCTGACGAGAATGGCTGTCGGCGGAGATGTCTTAGTTCGCAATTTTGTCTGAGGGAAATTTTGTCTTAGTTCGCAATTTTGTCTTAGAGGGAAGACAAAAATTTCGTTCCCAATTTTGTCTTAGAGGGAAATTTCGTAAAAAAATATTAGTTTTATTACCCGGGTCGCTAGACCCGGCCAATTAAAATAGTACCGGGTATGAACATAGATTTCAATTCAAAAATTATGAATATATAGTTCGGTAATTATGAACATAGAACAATGTGCACCATGCATGGTGCACATGGTTGCACAACATAATTTGCCCTTTATTACCCGGAGGTTTATTACCCAGACAACTCACGGCCCAATTATATTACAAAGCTAAGATCGCGGCAAAAGAAATGGGATATAGCTAACTGTACGGCATCGATCAACTACTCTTTTATATCCATTCTCCACGTGTCCCATGCATGCCGGAAGGGTCGATTACCAACATATAGCTAACCTTGTTAGTTATGCGCTAGCCGGAATGGTCGATTACCAACCCCGGCCCCTATCATACCGCCCTTAACCCCTACACACCATACCGCACCATTCTGAACACCACACCGCACCGCGCAGGGCTGTTTTAGGCCATGTCGGACCGGCGCGACCGCACAGGGCCCCCAATTTTTTTAAAAAATATTATAAATATAATCTATTGTTTTTTATACTTGATAATTATTATTATTATTTTTTAATTCATAGATTGGTCTTAATTGTAATATAATTGAAAATAAAACTTTAATGAATTTACTTTGAAATTTTGGTGAATAATTTTATATTTAAATATGAACGAAAATAGAACTATTAAATTAACATTTGAATTGTATTCTTTCTTTGTTAAATTATAGGTAAAAATAAGGTGTAACACTTTAGTACACAAGAGTTGGTGTGACTTGATGGATTTAGCTTTGTTTGTTATGTTAAAGGTTTTCGGTTCCATCTTTCATGGTGCCATTCTTAACTTATTTTATACAATCATTGTTTTGGTTCTCAAAGACAACACATAAGCGAACTGGTAATATACTAGATGTTGCGCTTGAATACATAAGTGTTGGTGCGGCTTAGTGGGTTTAGCTTAGTTTATAATGTTAGAGGTCTTAGGTTCTATTCTTCTTGGAGGGAATTCTTTAACTATTTCCTAAAATTGTTGTCTTGGTTTTAACAAACAACACAGAAGCAACCCACTTATATATCAGATGTTGCACCTTTAGACATAAGAGTTTGTGTTGCTTAGTTGGTTAGATTGCTTACTTGTTAAGGTTGGGGTCATAGGTTCGACTCTTGTTGTTAAAATCTTTGTCTTTATTTTATATACCTGTTAAATAATAATGCGCAAAGACAACGGTTTTTTAAAATCGTTGTCTTTATAGTGTTGTGTATTCAAATACGCTTAAAGACAACATACCAAAGACAACGGTTTTATAAAACCGTTGTCTTAAACAAATAAAGAATGCGCAACGACAACGGTTATATAAAACCGTTGTCGTTTTTGTGTTGTGTATTTGAGTACGCCCAACGACAACACACCAGCGACAACGGTTAAATAAAACCGTTGTCTTTTTTCAAAAAAAGAGCGCACGAAGACAACGGTTTTAAACAACCGTTGTCTTTCTAGTGTTGTGTATTCCAGTGCGCTTAAAGACAACACACCAACGACAACAGTTAAAAAAACCGTTGTCTTATTTAATAAAAAATGCACATAGACAACAGTTTTAAAAAACCGTTGTCGTTGTGGTGTTGTCTTTTCACAAAATGCACAAAGACAACACACTTATAACAACGGTTAAGTAAAAACCGTTGTCTTTGACAAAAGTGTTGTATCAAAGACAACGGTTTTGGACCAAACTGTTGTCTTTTATACAAAAGACAACACTTTTCTTAAAAACTGTTGTCTTTCTAGTGTTGTCTATGTGCATTTTTCTTGTAGTGAAAGAATGAGGGGTCTAAAAAGTGCTTAACATCATCAAAATCTATTACAAAATTTTCAAACAATTCCCCCCTTTTTGACAATCTCAAAACGTAACTCACAAAGAGATTGAATGAATAAAGAGGTTTTATTGATTTCAACCTAACACCAAATAAAAGAATATTTTATTTATAACATATTTGTGTACATGAGAGTTCTGAACATACAAATTAAATACTTAATACAAAATCAATATTCAAAAAATCTTCAATCTGCTTCCCGTCTCTCTTATAACTTCTTATGGAAACTTCTAAACAGCAATCACTGAAGTGTTTACCCAACAAACTAGTGTGCTATCTTCATAAGTCATTTTTCTAAGCTTCTAATATGCAGGCATATCTAAGACTTGTTCCTTATTGTTCCTGATGCCCACTTCTTCCCTCCTAAGTGTTAACATCTTCCTTTATTATTATTATTTTTAATCTCTTAACCCTATTATATTAAGGTCTTCTATTTAGCTCCTCCTTAGCTCTTTGGTTCTTCCAAATGTCTTCTTCCTATTTCCTCTTGGTTTCCCCCAGCCCTTTTTAGCCATTCAGCCTATTGGGCAAGCTCTCCTTTTTGCGTGCTAAACCATTCCTAAGTCTTCAAGTTACTACGTCGTTGCTTCTCAAAGTTCTTCTAGTGTACTCTAACGATTTCATCAAATGTCTCCTTCGTGTACCCTAGAATATTGCTTGAAATCTTGAAAAGCATTGGCTTTGTCCTTGCTAAAGCACTCACAGTAGATGTCATGATTGGACTCTTCTAGTCTAACTCAGGCTTGATAGAGGATTTCTTGCCAAACCACGAGCCCGGACAATCTCTCTTACTAGATTTGTTAATTCCATTTTCATTTTTCTCCTTCGTTATTTGATAACACATAATCTAGTTTTGTCGTAGGGGCGCTAGGCCCAAAATAATATGTACAGTACATATGAGATAACGACTCAAATAATAAATATTTTAGCTCTAATAGGGGATTAGGAACAATTAAGAATAATATTGTAGCTTGTGTGAGTCGAACTCCCAATTTAACTAAAGCATCAAAACTAGAAAATTACTACATGCATGTGGTCTTAAATTTGCTTCAATGAAAGTAAATTCCAAGGAGGTAGGATTCTTTTCCTGGATGATTGAAAATCTATCAAATTTATTTATGTATTTATCCTTTTTGGCTTAGATTAAATGTATTTTATAAATATAAGAAATTTGTCTCTTCAACTATTAGGAGGGACAACACTATTTATTGAAGAATTTTATTTCTCAACACTTTTATATATATGTATTGGTTTGAATTTTGAATATTCTTGTTGCATACAAGAATCTCTTGGCATTGGTTTATTAATTTACAAACGATTAGGAATTTAATTGATGAGAAACTATCAAAAGCCTTTAACTTTAATTTACAATTATAATGAGCAAGACACCACCATCGGAGTTTGATCCTGTGACCTTCCCTCAAAAAGAGCCAAATAGGTGTCATTTGAGCACAAAGTGCTTGATATAGTGATATATATTAAAAATCATGTAATGACATTATGTTATTTTGTTTTAAAGGATATATATTGGAGTTAGTTTCTTTCACAGAAAATCTTTGCGCCTTCACGTGAATATATGTAGGGGTGTAAACGAGCCGAGCCGAGCTCGAGCATGGGTTGGCTTGAGCTCGAGCTCGATAAGCAAGGTTCGGCTCGAGCTCGAGCTCGAGCTCGATCGAGCTCAAAAAAAGATGCTCGAGTTCGGCTTGACAATTTTTCGAGCCGCTCAAACTCGGCTCGAGCAGCTCGATTGTTCGAGTTCGGACTCAATTTTGACCTATTTGAATTCATATTTCAATTAATAATAAACATTGTTTTATCCATACATAAATAATAAAAAGTTTAAAAATTTTAGAAGTCCAAACTTCAATGTTTAAAGACTCCATACACTCAAAACAAGTTTACAACTCCACTTTAATTACAAGTCAATAGTAGACATTGATCCTTACGATATATATAATATTTATCTATTTATTTAATTATGGCTTGCGAGCGGCTCGACGAGCCACGAGCCTAGAATATTTGAGCTCGAGCTCGGCTCGTTTAATAAACGAGCCGCTCGAGTTCGGCTCGAGCTCGATTTTGACCGAGCGGTTCGCAAACCGCTCGCGAGCCGCTCGGCTCATTTACACCCCTAAATATATGGTCTGTTATGTAAACAAGAATTGAGTAGTTTGGTTGGGCAACGTATAATGTTATGCATATAATCACAGCTAAACTATCCAATAAAAAGGTGACATATAAGAGTGGAAAATTTTAGAATGGTAAGTAGCATTACTGAAACTCTAAATTTGCAATCTGGAAATACAAATAATTCAATTCCTACGTAATTCAGAGAATATTAAAAATGTGAGTTTCTAAATTTCCTACTCCAGATGGGATTCCAACTCAGAGCGGGAAAAATAACGAAAATACATTATTCTGACATGGATACTATAAAAAGCTAACTAGCTAGTTTCCCGAATCTCACCAGCATTCGAATTTAATTTGTTTTTTCCCCCCTATATGTATTCCTCATTCTTTCTCGGACTGAAAGATGTGCCCTTTCATCGTTTACACTCTGATATGAAAATGTCTGAATTTGTCCTTGTGCAACAATTAAAGATAACTTGCCGAGGAATAAGAATGGTAGCGATTTGGGTAATTTGGCAAAGCTCATAGACGATGGTCCCTTCCAATGTATTGCAAAACACAAATAAGTATTCATCCCGTACCCAACAAACTAGAATATAATAATTCTTCACATTCAA